ATTCAGAGGTAGCACCAATAATATAAAACAATATTTATTTATTAATAAATTTTGGTATTTGACAATTTCATGCATGTACATAATGTATTCTCGTTACTCTCCTCCCCATACTCTCCTGCCTCCCTACCAGCCCCCTCCTTTCCTAGTAATTTCATTCTCATATTGATGACACTTTGCTTTGCTTTGTGCCCCATACGGTTTAACTAGACTGTATATGTGACCTTGGGTTTGGAACCATTGATTATAACTAGTAAGCTCACCAGTGGGTATATAACTTGATACTGTGCCTCACCCCCTCCCAGAATCTATTAGTTGTTAATAGTTCATCAGTAAGTGGTAAGGCCCCATGAGACCCTTCTCCAATAGCTGACTGCTAGGCAGTCCAAACGTGCAGCCCAATACCATTAGTCACCATGGCTGTGAGCTCATGATTGCTGTGGCTATGTCATGCTGAGAAGCTGGCGTTTTGCAGCCTTTCTCCCTGTCCTCCAGCTAGGACATTCTTTTTGTTCCCTCTTCCACAGTGTTCCCTGAGCCTCAAGGGGATGATATAAATGTCTTGTTTAGGACTGAGATCCCCCCAGCCTTTATTCTCAGCATCCTGTGAAGCTGCTGGTCTCTGCATTCATCTCCATTCACTGCAAGGAGAAGCTTGTCTTAATTAAGGCTGAGCATAGCCTTCACCTATGGGCATAAACGCAAATCTTTAGAAGGCAATTTGATGCCACATCCATTTAGCTAAGCAGCTAAAGTATGTTACCCTCTTTAGCCTAAGCCCTCTTTAATTATGGATTTTTAATTGGATTACAGTACTAGGCATGGGCTCCCTCTTTGGAGCCAGCCTCAAATATAGTCAAGGAGTAGTTACTCCCATAACACTTGTACCACTATTGTGCCAATGGGCATATCTTGCCTGGCAGGTATTTCAGTTCATACAGTTCATAGCTGGGTAAGACCCTTGATGTCTTTATTCCCCTAATAACCTGTATAATGTCATCTGGCACTATATAAGCTAGCCAGCAATGAAGAAGCTTCCAGCTCAGTCCCAGCTTTATTTTTCCATATTTTGCATCCACAGTATGCAGTGTCTTCAACAATAGGATCTTATCAACTAGTTCTTTTGGGTAACAAAGAGGAATGGCAGGACCCTGTATTATTTGAGAGCAGTAGGGTTTGGAGGCCTCCCTGACCTACAGCTCCTACAGAGGTATCCCACACCTGGCATTGGGGTTATTGTTTAGTAACCGGCATTATCTAGCCTTGTGGGTATCTGCCTTCAAACTCTCGTTGGTGTTGGTTAATTGGATTTTCCTATAGTAGGCTTCCTTGTGGCTTTTTTCATGTCCACTTCATTTTGATTACTCCTCCCCCATCCTTTTATCATCCCATACCCTTATCCTTCTTCCTGTACAATCCCAAACTTGCCAAATCTCATCTGAATTATTATTAACACCTGTTCACTTGAAAATATTGGTAACTAAAAAAGCAAAATGCACTAATAACTGTAATCATAAAATTGATATTTCCCTTGGATATGTAAAATCCTTATAAAGTTACCATTGACTGCACAAAGTCAACTCTTTAGCACAACTTTAGTGATTATTATATGATATGTCCATTGATTTCTTCAGTGGGGACTGGTCTCTCTATCTTGTTCCCCTTTGCTTTGACTTAAAAATATTTTAAACCTAATTTATGAATAATAGGGGAAAAACTTCTGCACATTGTACCTATGAAATTACTTATAAGCTGAAGGTGGGTTAATGGTTGGTTTCATTGATTAGAAGATTAGGGAGACACTAAGCACATAAGAGGAAGGCCTCCCCAAGGAAAGAGCTGCAAAGGCTAGTCATTCTTTGAAGACATGTCATGGAATTTAATTTTTCCTATCATCAAAACTTTCCCTATCTGCAGATCTATCTGAAAAGAAATATTTTTTTTTGTAAAAAATCTTAGTTTTAAAATCATCATAAAATCAAAAATTGGAAAAGTAAACAGATAAGTAAATTAGATAAAAACAGATAAATTAGATAAAATTGTAAAGTTGCAAATATCATGTACATATTATAGTTAATAATAAACATCAATAACAGCAGTAAGAGCCACAATATCAAATGTAACAAAATGAGTCAACTGATGTTGAATTGCTGTGCTCACCAGAGGATGTAGAAAGGCTCTTATTTGGAACTCATGGAACCTCTCAGACCCATACAGTTGTGAAACCAATAACCCAGACTACTTCTTGGCATAAAATAAATGACGACTTATCCCTCCCCTTCATGTTTCTATGGGCTGTGTGCTGAGCAAACACCTCCATGTTTCCCCTGCCCATCACTCATGCTGTAGTGTTACTCTGGGAATTACGCTGAAGCTGATACATCCAAGATGGAAGCCTGATGTTTCCCAAGGCCTTTTCCCACATGCCTCTCATCTAATCCATGCTTCTTGGGACCTGGGAGCTGCCTTTTCAGAAGACGCTTTCCAAAAGGACAAGTCCTAAGGACAAAAGCAGCTTCTGCTTGCATCATGCTTGCTGCTGTCCTATTGACCTGAGCATGTTCCATGGCCAAGCACACATATGATATAACAGGAGCATCAAAAACATAAAGGGGGATGAGTTCATGGATGGTTACTGATGAACAGTCTACTGCAGCATGGTAGAACTAACTCTATACAAGGCACGACAGCTTTGTAGGTTAGGGACATGAGCTCTGGAATTAAACTACTTGTGTTAACATCATGGGTACCAATAGGCAGGATTATTACCTTTTTCTAAATCTAAATCCTCATATTTTAAATAGAGAAACTTAAACTAACAACTCATGAAAGCCCATGGAACATAGTCTGGAGGGCAGAGTTTTAAGTGGCTGTATTCAATATATTCCAATATAACACCATTACTACTTTTTATCAGTAATATTTGATATGCTTCATTTTTCGCTTTTGAATTAAAATATATTCATATCAATTACATAAGTTGCCAAAGATTGCTTCACTACCACAGATGGAAATTTTCTGTTTTTGAGGGGAATGTGTGTGATGGTTCTCACATTTGATTTGCACCATGAACAGAAGTTGAGGCAGTGCCTCATTGCTCTTTGCCTTTCATTGCAGATTCAGATGTGTGGTCTACCCTTTTAAGCCAAAGCTCACTGTCAAGACAGCGTTTGTCACTATTGTGATCATCTGGGTCCTGGCCATCACCATTATATCTCCATCTGCAGTAATGTTACAAGTACAAGAAGAAAAATACTACCGAGTGAGACTCAGCTCCCAGAATAAAACCAGCACAGTCTACTGGTGCCGGGAGGACTGGCCAAACCAGGAAATGAGGAAGATCTACACTACTGTGCTGTTTGGCACCATTTACCTGGCCCCGTTGTCCCTCATTGTTGTCATGTATGGAAGGATTGGGGCTTCGCTCTTCAAGTCTGCAGCACGCTACACAGGCAAGCAGAGCCAGGAGCAGTGGCACATGTCCAAGAAGAAGCAGAAGGTCATCAAGATGCTGTTGACAGTGGCGCTGCTATTCATCCTCTCCTGGCTGCCCCTGTGGACTCTTATGATGCTCTCAGACTATGCTGACTTGTCTCCAAGTGAACTGCACATTATCAACATCTATATCTATCCTTTTGCCCACTGGCTTGCCTTTTGCAACAGCAGTGTCAACCCCATCATTTATGGTTTCTTCAATGAAAATTTTCACAGTGGTTTCCAAGATGCCTTCCAAATACAGATCTGCCAAAGGAAAGCAAAACCCCAGGAGGCCTATGTCCTACAAGCTCAAAGCAACATGGTCATAAACACATCTGGCCAGCTCACTCAGGAACCTGCACCTCAAAAGCCATGTGGGGAAAATTTGCTGTGTAGAAAAAGTGCTGAGAATCCAAACAGAGATTAATGATAGAACAGGGAGAGGGTACTAACAGTACTGAGGTTTAAGACTACGCAGTGTGGTAATCCTTGTGCTGCCATATATGCTGGCCAGTGTATGAGTGTGGAAATATATTTCAATATTGAGGCTTCTTGTGACTTTGTACTTACTCCTTTTCTAATATTCTGAAAAAACCCATTTAATGAATACTCACTCAAGCAAAACTATTAAATATACAAAATGTCTTATCTTCATAACTAGGCTTATGGTTCATGAAAAATTCACAGTGGCTCACATGTTGGCCTGAAAAATATGTTCCGAAGGAACAGTTTTTAAAGCCTGACCTTTCCCATTTCAGCCATTTTTGTATGAGGCAAGTAAACCAAACATGTGTGTTTAACTTGTAAATCTAGCAATCATTTTGTCTGTCATTCTAACTATCCTCTCTCCATCATCTATGTATCTGTCTATAAGGACACATGCATTTTACATGAAAGTACGTTTTGTCAATTCTCCAATTGATTTTGGATTTGAAATTTTAGATTTACTAATGTGTTTGTGGTTTTTAAATATTCTAGGTCTTCTAAGAAAAGCATTGTATTATGTGACCTCTCTGCTACTGTATTCTCATTGTTGTCGATTTGTCTGGATCAACCTGGAAGCAAGATGCTGGAGGTGCATCAGTAATCATAATCCCTGGTGACCTCAGCTTGTGTGTTGGAAATACAGTACAAAATAAGGGAATGTAGATTTCTTTCATTTTAAAAGATATGTTTTTTTGTCCTTTAACGGAAAATAAAGATATGGCTGGGTGAGCACCTTTAATCCCAGCACTCAGAAGAAAGAGGAAGACAGATCTCTGTGAGTTTGAGGCCAGCTTCATCTATATAGTGAGTTCCAGGCCAGACAGGCTGTCTAGTGAGCCCTTTCCCCCCACCCCAAAATGGACGAAGTTAGGTAAACCATAATATCATTTCCTATAAGTTACTTTTGACTTTTTAGTATTTCCTAGTTGAATCCCTATTTATTACAGAGTTACTTTCTAATAGAATGTTCAAACCCAAAACAAGCAAATCCGTACACATTTCAGTAGGTGGCAGGGAATGACACCTTTTTTAAATGACTGAGAGATGATCAACAGTCATCCCAAGACTCCCCTGACATACAGAGAGATCAAGAACAATTTTTCCAAACTTCCTAGTGGACACAATATTTAAACGCAACACTCAAGAATTTAGTAAATTAGTATTAAATTTAAAAAGAGTGTTGATAACCCCTCAATTTCACTGTTAAAATTATTCAACTCTTTCCAGAGTTGGTAGAATCATCTTCCTGAAGTAGATAGCTGATTTGTTCTCCATTGTAAAATGTTTTGAGAAGCTCCATTAAGACACATGTATGCCCCAGGCTCACTAAGGCCTGGCCTGCACCTGCTCTTTGTATCTCTGACCCAAATTATTTTTCCAAACTCCATCAAAATGAGATGCTTAGCCTAGATTGTTGTGTGAATTTATTTGTTTTTCTCTGTTTAAACTTTGTGTGTCTATTCTTTGTCAAACATCTAATCCAAAGAGCGACTTCAGAAAGTTTTTCTGTATTCTTACTGCAGAAGTGATTACTCCTTAGTCCAGAGTTGACTTATACAACAACCTAGCATGTAAATGTTTATGTTTCATGTTGCAATTAGAACATATAGTGACTTTCTCAAAGATAAATGAAGTGGGCTTCATTCTTCTTCAGATTCTCTGCAGCATGAGTTGTAATAAGGGGTCTTTAGTATGTAAAGGTTGGATAATTTCCATAGGCAAAAATAAAATTAAAAACCCATCTGTCTGTTGGCTTAAGAGGAAAGTCTACTACTGAGCAAGTAGTTTTCTCCAGTCAGATTTACCACATTCACAATATAAAGATGAGATATTTTAATGAACTGGAACAACAAAGGAAAATATGGAGGAAAGGAAAATGCTTTGAACATTTATACTTGGCATTTGAATTTTGAAATCATAAAAGATACACCACCAGCTAACACAGGACTTTGGACAAATATATTTCCACCAGCTAACACAGGACTTTGGACAAATATATTTCCTATACCTCAGTTTTCTCATTTGCAAGATGAGAATAACAGTGGTTCTGTCCATTGGGTATTCTGTGACTATTAAAGGATGGGGGAGCACAGCTTGTGAAATAAAAAAGCAGAGTAATTATCATTGAGTAAAAGCAAATCGCTATTATGTTGATTATACTATAGTTATAATAATCTCAAAATTGTGTACTGATTTCTCAATATGTTTTCTAAACCTCACAAGAGTGCTATGAGATCTGTATTATTATTATCATTTACAGAGAACTGTATTGAGTCTAAAAGTAGGAGATATTTTTCTCAAATTATTTAATGTGTATATGTGGGTGTCTGTGGGGTTGTATGCCATGTGTGTGTGGGGGGTACCCTTGGAAGCCAGAAGAGGGCTTCCAGTTCTCTGAATCTAGAGTTACAGGAAGTTGAGAGCCACCAGATGTGGGTGCTTGGAACCAAATCCAGGATCTCTGGGAGAACAGCAAGTGCTCTTAACCACTGAGTCATCTTTCTAGCCCATTTTCCCACATTCTTAAGGTTTAAACGTAGTAAAATAAATTGGGAACTCTCTCTCATAATTTAAAATCTATTTTAACATTTTTAATGTTATATTATTTCTCTGTTGTAATAAACTTAGTTTTTCACTCATTCACAGCTACTTTTCCAATAACTTTTTAATTTTAAAATTAACACCTTTTATTTGTAGAATTTGGTGGAAATACAGAATGGTACAAAAGAAAACAAATTACCCTCAATCTTTCTACAAAGGACAACACCAGTTTAAACACTTACTCTAAACAACGCTAAGGTACATATATCCCCTGTACACCCATCACAGCAGTGATCATCTTACAGCAGATGCCTAATAGGGGAAGTGATGAGGTGGCCAATTTAGAAACACCTTTGACACGATTTTGTTTTTTCTAAAAGGTATCAATACACAATCCACATTTTGTGATTGACTCTCATAGTAGCCTTAGTCCATATTCAATTTCTTTTCCCAACCTACTTTAATAAGTGAAAATTTACTCATTATTTAGGAGTCATGTCTTATTCTCCATTATTGAAGGAAGCCTAGAATATAATAGAAGAGTAGATAACACTGAAAGGAAATGAAGTAAAATTAAAATCATTCCTTCTCCTACTGTTGCATAGCAATGACCATTCTTGCTGTCACTTTGAGGCATGTGTGCATGCTTTCATCAATAAGGATATGATTCTAGGGTATCTTATTATTATTTGTTTAATGTATCACAGCTATGTCTCCATGTTGTTTAAGAGTCTTCCAAATATTTTATTCACTTCAGTGCTATTTCATTATTTATTAAAGTTATCTGTGGTTGGAAATGTCAGTCATATCTTTTTTTGTAAAATGATATAATTACATAAACTTTGCACAACACTGAACATATTATAACATCTCAGAACAGTGTTAAAAGGAACTTCCTTGACTAAAATGAATATTTTGGGGTCTTTTTGAGACAAGGTCTCCCTGTAGCTCCAGCTGGCCTGGAGCTTGCTATGTAGACCAGGCTGGCCTTGAACTCACGGCAATGTGCCTGCCTCTGCCTCCTGAGTGCTGGGATTAAAGGTGTGTGCCACCATGCCTGGCTATAAGAATTGTTTTGAAAAGATGAATTTCTTAATGTTTTAATATTCATTGTTAGGCACTTCTTAATTCTTTACAAGCTTTTTATATTTGTTTGAGGTATAAGAGGATTTGTTCACATACTCTCTCAAATATTACACATTCTAGAAAACTTTTTTTCTAACCAGTTTAGTGAGAATGTATTTCCCTCTGTGTTATGGTATGAATGTGAAATATCTCCCACAGGCTCATGTGTTTGAACACTTGGTCCTTAGCTATTGATGCTGTTTGGGGAGGTTTGGGAACCTTTGGGACTGTAGGCCAGGTAGCAGAAGTAGGTCTCTGGGGAGCAGGCTTGAACATGGTATCTACTTCTGCTTCTGGCCCTATGGTCTCTGCTTCCTGATCTGTCAAAGTGTGAACAAGACATGTAGCCAGCTCCTACTGCCATGAACCAAGCCATTGTAGTCACTATGCAGCCCCCACCCTGATGGACTGACTATTCCTTTTGGAACTGTGAGTCAAAATAAACTCTGCTTCTCTTAAAATGCTCTGTCAAGGACTTTAGTCATCATGATAAAAAAAAAAGTAACTAACATAAAAGTTTGATACCAAGAAGTGAGGTGATAGTCCTGTGATAAATCAGCCCATATGCTCTTAGGCCTATGAACTGGTTTGTAGGAGAAATGTGGAACAGCTTGGAGCTATGCAATAGAGAATAGAATGTTGTAAGCAGAGTTTAATGGGACATTTTTGTGAGAATTTGAAAGACCAGAATGCTAAAAGGAATATAGACAGTGCTCAAGAGGTTTCTGAGAGGAACAAAAACTGTCTTAGAAATTACGTGAAGAGATGTTACTGCTACATTCTGACAATGTGTCTGGCTCCATTCTGCTCACAGTTTGCTCTTAGTACCTACATTAAAAAATGAGGACACGTAAATGACTTGACAGTGCAACTCAAGACTCTGGAAAGGCAAGAACAAACCAATCCCAAACCTATTAGATGAGGAGAAATAACAAAAATCAGAGCAGAAATTAATGAAATAGAAACAAACAAATAATACACAAAATCAATGAATCAGAGCTGGTTCTTTGAAAGGTTAAACAAGATAGACCCCTAATCCAGTTTAAAAAAAAGAAAGAGCAAACCCAAATCAGCAAAAATCATAGATGAAGGGTGAAACATCACAACACATACCAAAAAATCGAGACAATTGTAAGGGAATTCTTCAAAAATCTATACTCCATTTGATTTAAAAATCTAAAAGAAATGAATGATTTTCTAAAGTTATGGACACACCAAAGTTAAATCGAGAAGAGGTCATCAGCCTAAACAGACCCATAACAAATAACTCTCATA